ATGATTCTATGAAAATGAGACAGATTAAATGCTGTGAATAGTAGCTCTTTGTTACTCTAATCCATTTGATTTGAAATGGGGTAGGAAGTTCTTGCATAAGCAGTTTTAAGCAGAGTTATCTGCAGCTGCTCACAATCTGAAACTGTTTACACTTAAAATTTCCCAGGTCTGTGGCCTGGGGATGGAGCCAATGTGTTAACATTTTCCTAGCTGCTGCCAAGCAATGTCTGGATGAAAGGTTACATCCCAAATAACTGTTTATGCATAACAAATATTCGAGAGCGGTAGGAGCAGCCATTTCAATACAATCTACACAGTGGAAGCAGCTTGGGTTTTAAGAAGTATTTCTAACATGTTTTCATAAACACATTTAATCAGAAGCACAGACAAAACATAACCTCTTACTATGTCCTGGTTATTACATTTTAGTTATTGGCCTACAGCCATTATACTTTATTGAAATTGTTAAAATGTTATTAAAGACTTCAAGAGCAGTTTCCATTTCTGAGCTGCTTACTCACCTCTTACTTTCACTGCAGGCTGCCCTCCCAGTAGCCTGGCCTCACACAGATAGCACTATATTTGCATGTCCCCGCTGCCAGAGACCCCGAGTCTGCTTTTTCACTTCATGGGCTTCGCAAGATCCCAGGCAGACTCACTCTGCAGTCACTGCTGTGCACTTCCAAAGCAGTTGCTGTGTGTTGCCCTGGAATGTGATCCGAGGGACAGAGAAGCCTCCTACAAATATCTGTGAGGCCTTCCCTTCTGTTGTGTGCAGCCTGCTGCTCCTGGAAGGTATTCTGCTAACTGAAGTTGTACAAGTCTGGGTTGTTGATCTTAGGCTGCCTATCTTGCAGTGAACCACAGTATGATAAATATGATGCCATGCTATACATACTGGCTGCCTACTTTAGGAAAAAACCTCATGAACTTTAAAACATAACAGCTAAATACTTTCCTCTCCCACCAGTAAGGTGACAGAAGTATGCAGAAGTAGAAATATGAACTGCCTGTGTATTAGAAACTGGTTAGAGCACTAATTATCTGCTGAATGACAAAGAGAACGTTCAAACTTGTTCCATTCTAGTTTGGCTTGTATGGCAGCTGTCTCATCATCACACACGGCATTTGCCCAACCATCAACCCAAGACAGATGTTAAGAAATACTAGGCGTTCGGCTTAAAGGAGTGAGTTTTAAATAGAGCGAATCGCTCAGAGTCAGTCATTTTGCATTAGGATGCAGGGTTTACAGCATAATGTCGATTACTTTGGTATACTGTTTGTTCATGACTAACTTCGCAGGAGTAGGTAGGTTTGCTGAAGCCTTAGGCCGCAAGCTGTGAACTTTCACCAAGAAATGCTTTCGGCTGGGACAGAGTTAGTTTTCTTCTTCGCTGGTACAATGCTATGTTTTGGACTTAGTATGAGAATAATGTTGATAAGGCACTGATGTTTCAGTTGTTGCTAAGCAGTGCTTAGCCCAAGTTGAATCTAGCAGAGTGAGCAGGTGCACAAGAAGCACAAACTAGAAGGTAAGGAGGCTAGAATCATCAGCAGAAGCTGAAACTCAACAGGATGAGAACAGTTACTAGCCTGCCTGGAGAAAGAGAAAGAATTCAGTTAGGTGTTAGAAGATCCCACACCAGAAATCACCACTGGACCAAAAAGGCATGTGAAAGGTGCATGAGGGGTGGGTGCATAGATTTTAAGGGTATAACTGCCCAGGGATTTGTTGTGGGTCCCTCTCCGGAGGCACCCAGCTTGAGATGTTTTTTTTTTTTTCTGCTGTGCCATCTGACTATTTTTTTATAGGTAAGATTCAATACCTGACACTCTGCTACAGGAAACCCAAGGATGAACCTAAGGAGGGGAGAAACACTCAAGAGTAAGAATGTGTGTGTGAACGGAGTTGAAAGGGGCACCCATCAACTCATTGGAGTCGCCCACTAGGAAGGGACTCCGGTCTTAGCAGGAAAGACTTGGTGGCAAGTGTGTGACTCCTAGGATGGTATGTGTGCTTGAGTGCTCTCTCCTTTAACAGAGAAGAGACCTAAGGAACAACTTAACAGCAAGTAATGTAGAAATTGGGATTGTATAGGCTGTGTGAGGGAGCTGGGGTTACTGCAGCAGGGTCGAAGTTGCAAGAAAATATAGAAGATCCCACACCAGAAATCACCACTGGACCAAAAAGGCATGTGAAAGGTGCATGAGGGGTGGGTGCATAGATTTTAAGGGTATAACTGCCCAGGGATTTGTTGTGGGTCCCTCTCCGGAGGCACCCAGCTTGAGATGTTTTTTTTTTTTTCTGCTGTGCCATCTGACTATTTTTTTATAGGTAAGATTCAATACCTGACACTCTGCTACAGGAAACCCAAGGATGAACCTAAGGAGGGGAGAAACACTCAAGAGTAAGAATGTGTGTGTGAACGGAGTTGAAAGGGGCACCCATCAACTCATTGGAGTCGCCCACTAGGAAGGGACTCCGGTCTTAGCAGGAAAGACTTGGTGGCAAGTGTGTGACTCCTAGGATGGTATGTGTGCTTGAGTGCTCTCTCCTTTAACAGAGAAGAGACCTAAGGAACAACTTAACAGCAAGTAATGTAGAAATTGGGATTGTATAGGCTGTGTGAGGGAGCTGGGGTTACTGCAGCAGGGTCGAAGTTGCAAGAAAATACAGGTGTTATGAGAACATGGTGTTGTGCGATCAGTTACAGGAGGCAAAGGACCTAAAATAGGAAATAAAGCTTTGTATCTTATGTTACTTGCAGAATAACTTTAAAAAATTGAAAATTGGAAAGACTGAGTAACTGATGATGTTACAAGTAACATACACAGGGAAGGAATATATCTAGTGGCTTTAAACTGGAAGTGAGAGTTTTCCCATATTCAGATGGCTTATAATGAGAAACATGGCCATATTCTAAACCAACACTGGAAGTTAAATAACTAACTCACATCTTCAGCAATTTACATATATTTGAACAGTACGGCTGTTCAGAGCATGGCTTCAAGACTCCAACTCTGCAGTGACATTATACCAACAGAGTGAAGAGTGTTCAGATTCATACAAAATTCACAAGGGAAGAAGGCGTACAATTCATTTCACCCGCAAAAGAGTATGATCAACTTCCATTGACTTTTACAATGCATAACTGGCCAGATCAAGCACTCCTTAATTACCAGTGATATTAACAGCAACCTAGGTCTTGTACTTCAGGCAGAAATCTCCGTGACTGATCTCACACAGGCACAACAACTGCTGCCTTCCATCAGGTATTCACATCCTAAATAGGTCAAGGTATTTCAAGTCCTCTAAAGTTCAGTTTATCCACTGTTACAAAGAAAAAAAGGCAAAAAAAAGGCCTTTCATTTGTGTTATTTGATTATAATAAATAACTATTTCTTCTTTGCTCCTTGTGGCTAATGGGAGAGTCCACAGCAAATAATAGTTGCTTACCAAATCACAAAAATCTTAAGTGAACGCTAAGACGGGGCTTGGTTAATACTTTGAAGAACCCCTTTCTTCTACAATTCAGTTGTATAGTTTTACTTTTCAATTTTGATGCAGAAGGCTGGAGGCATTTTCAGAACTGAGGAGAACTGAGTATTGCACTATAGTTGGATGAGACAGGAAATTCAGCAGTACAAAACTCAGTGTCATACAGTTGGGAAGTAGGAACTTTTGCTGTAAAACTGGGAGCTCATAAGCTACATGATGCGTATCAGTTGAGGAAAAGTGAGACATTAGAAAGAGAAGTATTAATTGCAGAAGACACTGCTGGGGTTTTACCTGGAATGCCACAGATAACTGTGCTCACCCAATGTCAAGAAAACATTACAATCTGGAAGAGTGAAAAAAATAGTTGTCTGAAGGAACGGAGAACCTATTTAATCAAAAAAAGCTTGTAGATTGTCTCAATTAGCCTAGGATAGCAAAGCACGTCAGTAGTTTTCCATTTGTTAACACATCAGGAAGGTGACTGCATCAGACGAGTTATGTAACTTTGCTGCCTTAATTAATGAACAAGACTTGATGGTCATGCCTTTCGCTCTGTTGTTCGCGTGCCTAAATCGGAATATACTCACTGTGAAAAATTACCAAGTCTTTGATGCCATTGCATGAAAAGAATTGTGAGAATTTCGGTATCTAGGTTGTCATAGTTTATAGTGTAATAAAAAAATTACAACTGTATACAAAACCAAGAAATTTATTTAGAAAATTTAGAACTATTCACTTGTATATTTATAACAGTATCAGAGTCAGAAAACTAAGCAATTTCTGGTATGAATTCCTGTGTAAACATATAAAGAAAACAAATTATTTGATTACAAATAATTGTACTGCACAGATCTGTGAAATTTCCCTTGCAGAACACATGCAGCTGGTGTATAATGCTATTATCTTGTTCTAATTTCCACTGTATTCCCCTCCTATACAAGGATTCAAAGCCAAGTGGCTGTCATGCTTGATAAGCAACATGCCAGCAGGCAGAAAGGACTGCAAGAGCCCCACTGAGAGAGCCTGTCAGCTTTTCTTTGACCTATAAAGCTCTGTTTCGGTAGATGACAGGGATTTAATCTTTTATATAATTATTATGCAGTAGATACAACTGAGTTTAGTTAGATTGAACTTTCAAGCCTTGCAATTTAGATTCAGCTGTTTGTACTAAGTTTAAACTCCCCCTTCACTTTACTCTTTCCTTCTTTCTGTCATCATTTATCTATTCTGTGCTTCTTTCACTATACTAAGTGTGGAATTTTTCTGAGTTTTAAGTAAGTTTAAAAAGTTCTAGCCTGCAAAAGGAACGTCTAATTTAAAAGAGAATACTATACTGGGCATCAAGGCCTGTCTTGAAGCTTGAAAAGTCTACTGAAATTTAAAAGTACAGTTTATGCCAGGTAAAGCAAAAAATTCTGTGATTGCTCCCTTTGTATTGTTTTGGTCTGAAATTTTGGGTATTATTTATAGGCAGTCCTTCTGATTTCAGGAGGTTTCACACAAGAAAGGCCCTAGTTTTGCAAAATACTGCTGTAAGCAATTGTCTGGTGAAAAAAATAAATTACTGGAGTCTTACAATAATCAATCCTCTGTGTAGTAGTGCATCGTAAATGAAATTCCACATTTGTGGAATCTGGAATATTTTCTGGAGTGAAAAATGCTGACATAAAAATATCAAAAATATAAAGTATCACCCTCATCATGTTACACTGTGTTGAAAATACTCAGGCAATATGTGAATGTGACAAGTAAGTAGGAACCCAATTAAAACTTTAACAATGTATCAGCAATTGCAAAATACAAGTTTCCATAGAACTAAAATACCTTCAGTTATCAAACACCGTAATGGTCATTCAGGTAATCTAGTACTGCTGAGGTGCTTGATAAAACATTAAAAACTCTTTTTTCTTGTTTTGAAGTTATGTGTTCCATCATGTACATTAAGTGGTGGTGAAAACACGTAAAAGGAGTTCCATGCTCAAGAGCAATGTCAACCCAGTCCTGGATGCACTTCAAAGGGGTCTCTTCGTACCCTGCAAACATAGCCGGATTTGCTAAGAGTCCTCTAGCCACCATTACACCTTCAAAATGGAAATTAAAGCAGTGAGTTACATTGCAGTTTAAATTTTACAATAGATTTTCCCGTAGGTTTTGTATAGCACCCCTTAGGAGAACCTCCCAAAGCTTACGGACAAGCAGGGGGAGAACAGGGATGAATACTGTAGCTGTATGAGAGAAACCCATTTAACAATCCAAACCTCAGAGTACCTACTACACCTGTCAACACTACCCACTTGACGAGGTATCCCTCCAGAAATTTTGAAATGAAACACAGGACACAGAAGCCCTTCTTCCCTACTTTTGAAGCTGCAGTTCAATAGTATTTTGGTTTTATTTGCTACACACATACAAGCCTGCCTTTTTAACATAAAAATACAATGGAACGACACAAGGGTAGTAATACGTTAAATTTAGTTATTTTTAGTGCAACTCAGCTGATTCACTGACCTAGAATCCTTCTTCCAGTAAGAGCTCAATGTCTCAATTATATAAATCTCAGGGCTCTTGATCTGCATTAAATCTTTCTGAACAAGCCAGTGTATTTGCAAGTATAATCCCAAATTCTTAGATAAACCCATACAAGTTCTGTGGTAATTTTTCTGCGATTAAGGGATTCTGTTTTCCTGTTCCTGTTTTCCAACACACAATCTATCACACTTAGTCTCTTCTTAAAAAATAGGATGATCAAAAATGAAAGATTTTGCTATTGTGCATGACAGAAAAAAACGATGCTTTGTATTTCTGTTATTCAAGAAGGTCAGCTGGGTTATGAGAACATTCTTTTCTGTTACGTATGTCCTTCCTGATTTGTGTTTTGAGGGAAAGTCACTGTAGCAGCATGGCAGTTTGGGTCAACTAGTTTTTGTTGCTGCCATTAAATATCAATAGTGCCAAAAGAAATCTGCCACATGAACTTTTCCTTATGACACTAGCTGCTGCTCTCTGTCCTGTTATTCTCTAGCTGCAAGATTGAAAGTGCGTAGATACAGAGCACCTCTTCAAAACATAAACTGAATTTCCATACTGTCTTGAAACCAAAGCAGTTGCAGGAATCTATTGTGACTAAATAGTTGTAGGGCAATCCTTCACCCCCAGACGTTCCCACTGACGTGTCAGACAAGGTAAACACATACAGATAGGAGAGTGCAATGCCTCACTGTGTCCTTGAAGCTAACCATCTTAACGGTTAAGCATCTGGCTTAACCTGCCATATTCTGATTGTAATAAATCTGCTCCCGTGTGCAGGAAATAAAGAACCGTAAGCTTCCACTTGGAAATCTCTAAAAGATGATCAGCTCCATAAAGAGACGGAATCAATGTCTGAAGGTCCCTCTGAACTCCACTGCTGAGTGATGAGACAGCATAATTAAGCAAAGAGTTTTTGTAATTTGCCTTGGAAATCATTATTTGTGGCTTTGAAAAACGGTGCTCTAGTGCTCTGATGATTACAAGTGGTTCTGTTTATGAGCTTATCAGGCATTTAAAACATCCTCTTTCATTTGTCTCTGCAAACAGTGAAAAGCCCTCAAATCATGTCCTACTTGCAGCCAAAATAAATACTTTGAAATACGATTTGTAATTTTACTTAGAAAATAGAGTATGTTTGATCTTACCGTCTGCTCCTGTCAAGCGATGAACATTTTCAGCATCTTTTAAAGTTTTAATGTCTCCATTAGCCACAATAGGTATAGACACGCTTTGTTTAATTATTTTAATTGCATCATAATGTACAGGCTGATGTCTTTCTTCTACGCTTCTCCCATGTACTGTAATCCATGAAACTCCAGTTGCTTCAGCTTTTTGACACAGGTCAACTGTTCTTTTTAAGTCCTCATGGATCCTAAAATTCCAAGGAATGGAGAGATTACATGCGTAAATTATCTGAATGCTATAAATAAACGCCCCTCCCTAAGGAGCGGAGCTTTAGATTTGTATAACCATACATTTGCATAACCGTATAAATGAAGAAAATATGACTGCTGGAAGATAAAGAGGGTTTTTTTTTAATAAAGACACGAGTTCAGTGTATTGAAAACTCTATTTAATTTAGCGTTTCCCAGTTATATCCCACCTCTGAAATATACATGGCAATTTTACTTGTCCCAGATATTTTTTCACCATCTGGGGTCAAAACATCTCAGCAGTCTTCACATGTAAGGAAATTTTTATAATGTGCAATATTACATTAACACATTTACATAAAGTATAGCAACTATTTCACTAATGTATTTCTTTGAAAAAATGAAAAGGATTCTTCCAAGTAGCACAAATAACACTTAAGTTAGACCTACCTTATTTTAATAGATACTGAAAATCTAGGGTTGTCGATCTGATTGCGCACATGCCTCACCATATCTCGAATGAGCTCTGGTTTATTTATTAAGCAAGCACCATAACCTTCTGCCATCGCCCATCTTTAAAAGAAAAGGAACACTTGTATTCTACATCTGAAAAAATGCAGATCAAATTCAGTCAAATACATCAGCTTCTTTCCTTACGAGCTTTCGAATGGGTGGTTGAGTAAACCCAGGCAGTACTGGCTATAGATCAAAAATTTGTTTGCAGTTTGACACCAGCTTTTAGATCCTGGCTCAGTCTCCATTGTGCTGTTAGAACTCTGGACAAGTAATTAATCTCTTCCAGTTCAATTTTCTGACTCACAAGGAAAGTAAATTAACATTTAATCGACCATGGTTTAGATCATACATAAAATAAATAGTTTGATGTTTCCGGTTCCATTGGATTATGGGTTTCTTTTAAACAGAAAATGACTTTGGATTGAAAAAGAAGATTTTTGAAGTGCAAGTAGGGATATAATTTCAGTAATATTCTGTTTTCCCTCAACTGCCAAATAAAAATTTTGACTGGCAGGAAATAACTTTTGCTTCCACTTATAAGCAGCAGCTTTTTTCTTCAACAGTTTTTCTTATAAAGGCAGGTTAAGTGCACAAAGTTTTGTTATTTTGAAACCAGCATGCACTAGAAACAAAAGAATCAAATGCAAACATGTATTTTTGGACTAAAAGGAACTTACAGTTTGGCATACTTAACCATAGTTAGCTTAGAAAAAAAAATACACTTCTATTCAGAAGTTTCAGCTCTCTCCAGAAAAGCGTTTTCTCAAATACTATAATTTTAAGTCAAGACAACCTAATTAGAACAGACAAATTAAGTAACTGCACCGTAATATTGTCTTTTGCTTTCCTACATTTATTTTTGAGGTCTTCACTTAGAAAAAGACTGCCTGACATTCACATAATAAATTGTTCTCAATTGAACCAGTTAGTGAGAATCTTCATTTGCACATTACTACTCTGTTTCACTGTCAAGACAAAATCTTTATCAATTTAAGTGAGAAGTAGATGACTAATTCACTGTACTTATAAACCTAATAGAAGATGGAAGAAATTCTTTTCAGCAATTCCTGGGTAATATAATCTGTATAATTATATTTTAGAGACTATCTTTCACTTGCAGAAGTCTGAAACATCAGGGACTTGCCTCATTATTCTGGGAATTGACACATCATTTCTCAAAACACTCTCCAAATTATTTGCAGCAAGCTTTTCTTGGTAATGCGTATTTAACAGCTGCTGAGAAGGGATGGACACTTCACTTCTGAGCCAACATTCACTATCTTAGAAATTTAAAAAGGCAAGTTGGCAAATACACCTGGTTTTCCTAGTCTCATCATGGTGACAGGCATCTCTGAACATTCAGAAGAGTGTCTTGCTGCATAGAGATTTCTGACAGGTTAAAAAGCAGTTTCTCTCTCAAAGTCTATTTTTAAGTTAAGACAGAAATTACTATCACTATGAAGACCAACATTCTTCATTCTCTAATTATTTTGTCGTATTTACCCAGTTTTTTCAAAACTTTACCTCTGAGGACAGCCACAGTTTAAGTCTATTCCATCTGCATAAGGACAGACGATACGGGCAGCATCACACAAAACCTGGGCTTCTTTTGCAGCAAACTGAACAATCAGTGGATGATCACCTACTCCAATGAAAACATATTTAGAAATTTTAAAAACCCCACAAAATAAGAAGAAGGAATTTTAAATCTTGAATGTTTTTCACACATTGAAAAGCTGTCTGGCCATGGTCCCAGGCAACTGGTTCTAGGTGACCCTGCGTGAGCAGGGGAGCTGGATAACATGGCCTACAGAGTCCTTCCAAACTCAGCCATTTGGTGATTCTGTGAGCCTTAGATCACAAATAAAGGTAGCTGACCATTGGTTTACAGACTATGTCTATCAAGGGAGGTGGGAATTCAGACAAACAACGTCCTAGATGGTTGCTGGCTCAACATATTGTTTTTGTGCCTGAAACTGGTCAGATGCTTCTCTTCAACAATGAGATACAAAACAAAGCATTCTCTATTTTTTGGCAGCCTTTGTGCTTCCCCTCCTGGTCTGCAGGCTGCCCCTTTGCTGTGCTAACACGGCTGGCTGTCCTGCCAGGTGGGAAACTTGCTTACAGAACTAACCCTTCAGAAAGGAGCTAAACAACCCACAAGCTTTGCCCTTCGTTATCCCAGCCCATCTTTTTCCTCTTCTGTGCCAACATGGCTGGTTTCTACGCACAATGCGATATGCAGAGTTGGAATGAGCACACAGGGGCAGAGACAGCTTTAGCAGCTTTATCTCAAGTGGGAAAACAAAGTGTCAGTGCTCCTCAGCTTGGGTGTGCTGCACTACTCGTGCTTTTCCAAGCCCCTGCAGAGAGCCAGATGGTCATTTGGAACATGGCTCTCCTCTTTTACAGCTACTGCATTACATTACATGCATCTAAAAAGATTTCAAACGGTCTTAGCACTCACTTTCCATATAAACAATTCCTGCCGTTAAGAGGAAGGGGGTATCTGAGCACTGATGGAAAAGAGATGATCCAACAAATGCACAAAGCAAGTGCACTTCTGGTACTGAAAAGACCACAAGTGCTTCTGAAGATGTTTCTGTTTCAGGGGAAAATAACTAGCTCTTCAAGTGGTGGAGCTTAAGCCAGAAAGGGCAGCAATACCCTCTCAATCAGGCTGAGACACTGCTAGAAGTTACCTAAAAATCCAGAAAGAAAAAAAAAAAAAATAAAATCCCTTGCATATTTTCAAAGCAGTGTCCATTTAATACAGTGCTCTAGCTGAAGAGATTTACACGGCTACAGCAAATATTTTTGAATAACCCCACGCACCTCGAGTTTTGGTTGAGCATTAAGTAATAAAAATACTGATTCTAGCCATATCCAATTTTTTAGCAGCAGCCACAAAGAACATCTGCATCTATTTGAGAAATACACAACAAAGAAAATATCAATGCCAAAGAAAATGGAAAACAGAAATTGCAACTGTAGGATCCAAACCTACTCCACTAATTAGAAGACAAAATCCTCAAACAGCCAGGAAGGTAAACATAAAACCACAGTAAAACTGCACAACCTGTTGTGGAGCTATTTGTTAAAAGCATAAACGCTAATAATGTAAATACTATCATCTTGGCAAAGCTGCCTGAGGCTGCAAGTTTTAGAGGCCTATAAAATTAAGGCCAGCATGAAAGAGTTGAATAGGGAAAAGGTATTGTTTACAACACTAGAACATTTCATTTTGTACCCCTTGTTATCAACAGAGGAGAATTTCTTACTTATTTACTTTTACACACAAAGAATCATCCACACCTTTTAAAAGTTGAGTTCCACTAACAAGAGCCTACCTATGCTTCCCAATGTGACTTTGTAACTGCTCTGTTCTATCTGAAAAACATATCACAGTAAACAGCCAGTGCTAAAATTATGAAACCTACTTCCCCTGCTATTATGGATACACTTATGAAACCACCAATTCAGTGGTCTGAATGGGTTAAACCATCACACTTCGTAGATCCTACATACTGATCTTACTAGCACGTTAGCAGAACACACTTCATTCTTCCAGTTGCAGCCCATGCTGGTATGTTCCTTGTTACACTCTTCTTCAGCCACTTCATGCCAGCAGATCTGTATCGTTACTGTCACCTCTTCCCACATACTTCATACCATTTTCCTCTTCTGCTTTACAGCCAGGACTCTGTGCAACTCCTTATACCCCTTCTTTTCATATGCTTTCTGGTTATGTTTCTGTACCATGTCTGAAGCCTTGCTTCTCCCCACCGACCCCTGCCACGCTTCAACTTCCTGGCCCCTTCTTGCCTCTTTATCTCTCATTATCTCAACGATTTTGGTAAGGCACTGGAACAGGTTGTCCAGAGAAGCTGTGGATGCCTCATCCCTGGCCGTCTTCAAGGCCAGGCTGGATGAGGCTTTGAGCAGCCTGGTCTAGTGGAAGGTGTCCCTGCCCATGGCAAGGAGTTGGAGCTGGATGGTCGGATGGTCTTTAAGGTCCCTTCCAACCCAAACCATTCTGTGATTCTATGAGTTCACCAACACCCCCTTCCACCTTCCAGCCAAGCTAATTTGAAACCCTGTTGCTTTTATCAGTCCTTGATTCCACTGTACCAATGTCTAGTGTTTTTTTTTTTTTGCGTTTAACAGCCGTCTTGATTTTGACAGAGGCCAGAAAACATTTCCCAGCAATGAGTTAACTGTTCACCTCTGAACACACAAGAAACAGCAATTGTTGGAAAAGAATCTTACAAGATGTTAGATCTTATACTGGGACTGGGTCTGGCTGGGACGGAGTTAATTTTAGAATTTATTTAAAGTACATTTATAGCAGCCCGCATGGTGCTTTGCACTGCACTTTGTGACAAAACCAGTGTTGATAATGGACCAGTATTTTGGTTATTGCTGCACAGTACTTGCACGGTGCCTAAACTTTCTCTTTTTCTCACTCTGCCTTCCCCCTGCACTCAGCAAATAGATTGGGGTGGGCAAGAAATTGGGAGTGGACACAGATGGGACAGCTGATCCAAACTGGCCCAAGATTATTCCACACCGTGTAACATCAAGCTCAGCAATAGAACTGGAGTGGTAGGGGAAGAAGAAAGTGAGTTCTGATGTGGAAATTTGGCTGGGCATCAATCTCCTGGTGTGAGGTGGGAAACAATTGCTTTTGTGCCACTTATATTCTCCTTCTTTCCTTCACTCATTAAGCTGTCTTTATCTTGACCCCTGAGTTTTTCATGCATTTTCTCTTCCTATTCTCCCCTTGTGCTGTTGAGAAGTGAAGGAGGAATGAGTGAGCAGCTGCATGAGTGCATAGCCACTGGCCAGCTATGTATGGTCAACCCACCACACACCTTAATCATTTTAGAGGCATCGATTTTCAGGGGGAGGCAGAGTTTTCCACTACTACATTGACACACTGGCACTGGAATGTCCTTACTCTCACTTAGAATATTTCTGTGGTTTTACAAACAACCAGATACAGTACACCAAAATCGTTAATGTATGTCAAGTTGTGTGACAGACTCATTCGCTTGGCCAATTTGTTTTAAAACCACATAAAACATTCTGACAAGGCAATGGTTTATTAAAAAAATACCTTTGTTTGTCGTGAATTCGCTGTCTCTAGCTTTTGCAGATCTCACAAAATCAGCAGCCACTATCATTGGTGTGTAACACAAATCGCAACTGTATTTCCTAACCAAGGTTCTGAAAGCCAACCTGCAGACAGGAAAATTAAGAGACCAACAGTAAAGACATTTTTCTGATTACCCATTCTAAAATGCTGTTCTGACATGCAGTAGTGTGGGGATGTTGAAGTATAATCATAAAACATATCCTACACTTAGCTCCATCTTCATCAATGAAAGGAGAAAAAGGTAATCATGCCTGTTTTTACAGTCAAGATAAACATTGTCAAACAAAATGCACTGAAAACAGTCACTTACTTTGAATAGCGGACCATAGGGGCACAAATTTTTACAACTTGCCCAGAATTAAACAAATCCATGGGATCTTTTAGTTGGCAGTCTTTAGTTTCTATGATGTCACCAATCATGTGTAATTGACAATCCTTTCAGCAGCTGGAAAAACAACCAGTGTTTGCAGTATAAGTAATTCAGCTATTCCTCACAAGCCACGCAGCGAAGAGCTTAAACTGGACTTGTTTTTCGGTAAAGCATCCCGCAAGACGTCCCTCGCTTGCAGCGTGTCAGGAACAAGCCTTCCGCCACCACCACCGTTGCCGTTTGTGAACGCCCCCCCCCCGCCGTAACACCGTTCCGGTTTCATTTCTGTGCGGATCGTCCAGGCTGGAAGGGAAGCCCCCAGCCCAGCAGGGTCGGCTCCGAGGCCGGAGCAGGGGCTCGGGGCAGCCCCCGCCCTGCCCCACGGCCCTCAGGGAGAAAGCGTGTCCTCATATCCGACCAGA